AGTACGTCCTATTGGTTGAGGTGAGGATGTTCTGCAGGTTCGTAAATTTGAGAAAGCTCTGGAGCCAGGGGCAGGTTGAGCGATTTGACATTCTCTTCTGCCTGACTGAATTTTGATTGCCAAACAAAAGCCAGTGCTGCACCCCAGGACGGCGGATGCAGAAATCCCACGGTGGGAGGGGACGGCAGTACCTTTGCTACTGAACAGGCATGACTGATCGTCCTAACCTAGGACACACACTCCCTGAGCAGCACAACCTGCAAAACAAAATACTAGCCATGGAAGCCCAACAGAGCCCAAGGGTTAGGCAAGGCTCAGCCACATTTTTATTTTGACAGAAGAATAAAAGAAATTCTGCTCTTCAAAGCCTCTCCTGGAATTCAGGGATGCACTCCAGCCCCACCACCAGCAGATGCCTCCTGCCCATTGTTGTTGCCCCTGACAACTGGCTGCCAGCATTCGAAGAGGTGATGGTTACAATGATGATATTCTCTATTGCAGAAGCCACACTGCGCATGAGAGTGGAATGTAAATGACTCTCAGAGTTAGCGGCTGCATTTGAGAGACTGGGACATGCTTCCCTACGCAGTGGAGAAGACCGAGGGGCAGCTCTCTGTGGGTGTTGCATGGGCACAAGGAGGGAAGGCTTCCAGACTGGTTCAAAATTTATTCCGCGAGAACATTTACCACCTAGCCTTGCCGCTGGACCATTGGAGAGAAAGGAGCTGCGGGGGGGGGGGGGGGGTGCCATTTTATTTCACATTGAAGTGATGAATGCAGGCACCCTAGGACTTGGGGTGACATGGACACTCATGTGTGCCTTGGGAGGGCAGCAGCAACTGCAAAGTACTTAAAACACTGTTCTTTCTAAGTCCCCACTCCAGTGCTGGACAACCACAGAATCAACTGTTCAATAATCATTTTCTCGTATAAAGCACAGTTCTGTTCAAAGAAAAGCAATGGTAGGGACACGTACTCCGTGAATCCTGAGGAAGATCGGATTTCCTCCACCTTAATTAAAAGTACGTGGTTGCTGACGTCGCCAGCTAAGGTGAATCATTGTCAGCCAATCACAAAATAGAACAAGTATTTGTCTTTACTAACCATCCCCCTACTCAGATTTCAATGGCTGAATCCATTTTTAACCTGATCAATCAGATGCACTATATTGAATCCTGAGTCCAGGTGCCCCAGGCAACTCTGGTATGCTCATAAAGTATACTCAGGGAGAGAGAGCAACATTCTCTTTTTCGTAATTGCTATTGAAACCTCTTCAACATTAGGCAAGTTTTTATGCTACTTTAGTATATAAGTATGGCCAGATTACCCCATGTTTTTTTAATAATGTTTCCACTATCATGTAAACAGCTCAAGTGAGATGAAATTCATTTACTATGAAGTTCCACTTTTTAATATGTACAATTCAGTAGTTCTTGACGTATTAACAGAGTTGTGAATCCATCACCACTACCAAATTCCAGAATATTTTCATCTATCCCAAAAGAAATCTTATTTTGATGCATCCATGTAGGCTTATCAGTTGTATCAAATGTACCACCCAGTGGGGATGTTGATAACCAGGGAGGCTATACGTTGTGTGGGGACAGATGGTATATGGGAAATCTCTGTGACTTCCTCTCAATTTTTCTGTGAATCCAAAGCTTCTCTGAAAATATAATGTCATTTTTTAAAAAAAGGAAATAAATCTCATACCTACTAGCAGTCACTTCTCACTGCCCCTACCTCTAGCCCCTGGCAACCACTAACGTCCCTCTATCTCGGTGGATTTGCCCATTCTGGGATAATACAGTATGCGGCCTTTTGGGTCTAACTTCCTTCACTTAGCATAATGTCTTCTACCTTTTTGGCTCTTATCAATAATGGTGCTATGGACATCCATATGGAAGTTTCTGTATGAACATATGTTTTCAGTTTTTTGGGGTATATACCTGGGAGTGGAATGTCTCGGTCATATGCTAACTCTATGTTTACTTTTTGAGGAACTACTGAACAGTTTTCCACAGAGTCTACACAATTTTACATTCTTACTAATAATGTTTGAAGTTCTCCATTTTTCCACATCCTTACCAATATGTTATTTTCCTTTTTATAGCCATCCTAGTGGGTATGAAGTGGTATACTGTATGACTGGCATTTCCTTGATGACTAATGATGTTGAGCATCTCTTTTCAATGCTTATTGGCCATTTATATTTCTTTGGATAAATGTTTTTTAAATCCTTTGGTTGTTTTTAATTAAATTATTTCTCTGTTTTGAGTTATAATAATTCTTTATACAATCTGGACATCTTACCTTTACCGAACATATATCTTGCAAATATTTTCTCACATTCTGTGGGCTGTCTTTTCACTTTCTTGACAGTGTCCACTGATGCACAAACATTTTTAAGTTCGATGAAGTCCAATTTATCTATTTTTTCTTTGGTTGCTTATGCTTCTGGTGTCATATCTAAGAAACTGTTGCCTAATTCAAGGTCATAAATATATGCCCCTAAGTTTTCTTCAAGAATTTTGTAGTTTCAGCTCTTTTATTAGGTTGTTGATCAACATTGAGTTGATTTTTGTATACAGTGTGAGATAGGGCTCCAACTTTGCTCTTTTGCATGTGGATATTCAGTTGGGCAAGCGCTATTTGTTGAAAAGACTATTCTTTCCCCATCGAAAGATCTTGGCACCTTTGTCAAGAATCAATTGGCCATAGATGTCTGGGTTTATTTCTGAACTCTCAGTTCTTTTCCATTAATCTATATGTCTATACTTATGTTAGTACCATCATTACTGTAGCTTTAGAGTAAGTTTTAAAATCAGGAAGTATAAGTACTTTAACCATTCTTTTTCAAGGTTGTTTTGGTTATTCTGAGTCCCTTGTATTTTCATATGAATTTTAGAATCAGCTTGCCTATTTCTCCAATAAAGGAAATTGGGATTTTTATAAAGATTGGATTGAATCTATAAAAGTATTTGGGAAGTATTGCTATATTACCAATATTAGATCTTCCAATCCATAAACACAGAGTATCTTTTCATTGACTTAAGTCTTCTTTAATTTCTTTCAATTATGTTTTATGATTTTTCAGTGCACAAGTTTGTATATCTTCTGTTAAATTATTCCTAAGTACTTTATTATTTTCAAAACTATTGCAGGTAGAATCATTTTCTTAATTTAATTTTTAGATTGTTCATTGCTAATGTATGGGAATACAAATGATTTTTGTATATTGATCTTGTATTATCCAGCCTTGCTGCATTTGTGTGTGTGTGTGTGTGTGTGTGTGTGTGTGTGTGTGTGTATTCCTTAAGATTTTCTATATACAAGTTCATGTCATCTACGAATAGAAATAATTTACTTTTTTCCTAACTGTATTTCTTTCCCTTGCATTGCCTTGGCTAGAATCTCTAATGGAATGTTAAATAGATATGGGGAGACTGAGCATCCTTGTCTGTTCCTGATCTTAGGGAAATGCTTTCAACCTTTCACCATTAAGTATGATATTAGTTGTGGGTTTTTCATACATGCTCTTTATCAGGTTGAGGAAATTTCTACTAGCTTGTTGAATATTTTGTTATGAAAAGATTTTGGACTTTGCAAATGTCAGCTCTGTGGGTTCCTTCCCTCCCTTTATTCTATTAATATGTATATATTACATAGATTTTCATACATTAAATCAAATTTATTTTCCTGGGATCAATCACATTTGGCTAAGGTGTATAATCCTTTTTATACGTTTCTGGATTCAGTCTGCTAGCATTTTGTTGAGATTTTTACATCTATATTCATAAGGGATTTTTTTTTAATAAAGATTTTATTTATCTATTTGACAGAGAGAGACACAGTGAGAGAGGGAACACAAGCAGGGGGAGTGGGAGAGGGAGAAGCAGGCTTCCCGCTGAGCAGGGAGCCCGATGTGGGACTCGATCCCAAGACCCTGGCATCATGACCTGAGCCGAAGGCAGATGCCTAATGACTGAGCCACCCGGGCGCCCCCATAAGGGATACTGATTATAGTTTTCATTTCTTGTGATACCTTTATCTAGTTTTGGTTTAAGGGTACAGATTACTCTTTTTGTCACTGAAGTCTTGGAATCATTTAAATGTACATCATCACTTAATGGCACTTTCTGTAAAAATGTAAAATTATTTAATTAATTTATTTATTTATACATTTCAATGTATCTACTTCTTTTTCTGTCTTAAGGCCTAATACTTGTGCAGTCTATTTACTGAGGGTTAGAACTGTGGTTTTGTTTTTTTTTTTTTCAAACAATTAGGAAATGAACATGACAATGAGAATGTGGTCACAGTGGTCTCCTAGCACTGCCATGTGGTTATCTTCCAGGAAAAGTCTTCCTTCTCTCCCTAAGCTCATACTCCACCACAACCCACTTCCCATCTCACCTTCTTCCTGAACTTCCTCACGAAGGACCTCTCTCTCCTCCAAGCTCCCATAGCACTGATTTTTGAAACGTTCAATGGTGCAGGTGTATACACATTTTTGCTGTAGGCTTTTGCTAAAGATTTTTGTGTGTTTTTTCTTCCCTGTGAGATTTCTGACTCTTTCTTATACTTTTGTTATTTCGTCAAGTACCTCTGTTCTTAGTTCACACTCAATGTATGTTGTTTTAATAATTTTTAAAATGCATCTTGGATATGGTAGGTACAAATTCCATGAGATCCATATACGTGTTATATTTATAATGCCACTGTCTTAAAGCTCATCAAGCATGAATAAGTAATTATGAATTTTAATATATGCCACGTGTTTCTACCTAGTCAACAATTATATAAACGAATTCAAAGCATACAAAATGGATTTTTTTCATTGAAACATATTAATCCTTTAACGACATGGCACATTGAGAATTAGAACGGGGGAAAAATAAATTATGTAACAGGTAGTTACTTAGAAAAAAAACGGCAAAGCACAACTAGACACTTTCTCCCACACAGTGACTTGCTTTTCCAAGAATAAATGTAAGTACCTGGTGTCAGCAGTATGACCGAGGTGACAATCAGGGAGCAGATGACCAGGATTACAAGAAGTGCAATTGCTATCCCCTTCCAGTTCCTTTGGGGAGGGTTGCTCCCCACCAGCTCCTAAAAATGACAACAGGAAAGGGAGACCCAGTGAGGAAAGTAAGGAAATAAAATAAAAACCAAATAAATACACTCCATTTGAATCAAGAACCAAGACGCGGAAGAGTGAATGCGGCATACTCTCATCCTTGAAACGACGAGTAGCTCTCTTCTCCACCCTCCGGCCTCCTGCTCTCGTCCCGTTCAACACAGCAAAACCTGATCTCAAGAACGAATGTGATAGTACACTGTGTTTACAGCTTCGCTGAGAACTGACTTTCTTTCCATTCGGGACACTGGGTTCCACAGCACAGGGCAACTGTGGCGTTTCTCTTCGTGACAGCCAACCTCCTAACCCCACTGAGTCAAACCCAAGTATGCCGGCTCCAAGTCCTCTCTCACCTTCCTTCTCATTCACATCCACACTGTTTACTTCTATTTCAGGATACCAGATTCAAACATTTATTTAGCACATCCTGCATGCCGAGTATAATTAACCTGGACCCACTGCTCATGCTCTTGAGCCCTTTCTTCTTCTGTAGAACCTCATACAAGGCTTCACGATTGCCCAGGTCTTTTCACTGGGTGATTCACTTATACCCATTCTAGATTTTCATCCCTCCCGGGAGCTGTGTTTGCATTGTCGCAGGGGTTAGGGATGGGAGTAAGAATCTGGAGACATTGCTCAAGTGTGCTAATGGTTGGATAAATCTAGGAAATTAATCAGGCATATTGGCTGCTGAAACCAACTTTCAATTCCTTTCAAATCAGGGTGCTCATATAATTTACACTCCCAGCTGGGATCCTTTGAGAGACAAAAGGGTTAATGTTTATAATTAATAAACATAATAGTTTATATTAATAAAAATTATCATCAGTTATACAAGAGCAACTGGCACTCCCCAGGGCAAATAAAGACATATGGCCACACTGCAAACGGTCTACCGCTCCTTCTGCCCATAAACAGAACACAAAACATTCTCTCTTATAGTGCCCATAATTACAACTCATATTAACTCCAACTCAAGATGAAGTAGAACAGAGGTGGCCTCAAAAAGTAGATAATGCAATACCCAAATACAGCTTCATCCCAAACTCAAAGTTCATTAGAATGCAGCAAATTTCTGCAAATCGAAATAAAGGTAACATTAAATGGAGGGTGGCAAATAATAATTGACATGCAAATATTCAATATTGGCTATCTAGATTATCAAATTAAGAGAAATTCTGAGAGCCACTATGGTCTTAGCAAGAAAGGATTTTTTTCCCATTTTTTTATTGAGCAAGAAAGGATTTTATTGTTGTTTAAAAATTTCTATCAATCTTATTTGCTATCCAGAATTTATCTATTAAGAAGTGGCTTTTTAGCACTTAAAAATGACAAAAGGCTATACTGAGTTGATCTCATTTCTGAATGGATAGAGTTTCCTATGCAAGAAAACCAGAGACCAACAACAAGAAGAAGTAATCAGATTTTGCTGATTCAGCAGCTTTTCACTTTGCCCAAGTTTATGAAGAAAATTTGAAAATTCACCAAATTTGTGAATAGCACAAATCTTGAAGCAGTGTTATTCATATGAACAAAGTAGTACACATAATGTCTTGCAGACCCTAGTGGATTTTTCTTTTCTTTTTTCTTTTTTTTCTTTCTTTCTTTCTTTCTTTCTTTCTTTCTTTCTTTCTTTCTTTCAGAGAGAGTGCTAGTGCATGAGGGAGGGGAGGAGCAGAGGGAAAGGGAGAGAATCTTAAGTAGCTCCACACCCAGTGTGGAGTCCTATGTGACACGGGGCTCGATCTCACAACTCTGAGATCCTGACCTAAGCTGAAATCAGGAGTTAGAGGCTTAACTGACTGAGGACCCAGGCACCCCCTAGTGGACATTTCGCAAACACTGTTCATATTAAATCCCAGGGTAACAATCAAACCAGAATATTTTAATCGTCAAGACCAAATCTTATTCAAGAGACAGAATAATAAAATTAATGTTATTGCCTTCATCAGCTCAAACAATTGATACCTTTTGAATCTTGTTGTTAATAATAATTTAAAATTCTAAAATCTGTACCAAACATATCTATTAAATACACTGGTCGAAGTTTATGTGCATGAAGAAGCCTAAGACTTTTTCTTTGTGTCAATTTCTTGACGAGCTAGTAGTGTAGCTGATGTACTTGTAGAAGTGTACTTGAACCCATGTTGCAGTGACAGAGGTCCTTCTGAGACTCAGGGGGCCTCTTACCAGCCCCAACACATCCACAGTGGGATGTCCAGGGCTAGGCTGGACGGTGTCAGACGGTCTACCAAGAGGACCGAAAGATGAAGATGTTTGCAAAACATGTCATGTTAAGGAAGAGGTCAGCCTCAAAAGCCAAATACTTAGGAGCCTTCATCCACCTGAACTATCACATGGAAGAGAGAGGAGACTTATTCTGTACAGCTCCAGAAGGTAAAATTGTGTTTCAGTACAACTTCAAAATTCCCAGCCACGAATATCACCTCACAGTAGAATGAGATGCTTCACCAGGAAGTGTGCAGGATGGTGAACACCTAAGGAGGGTCCTGGAGGTCCGATCCTCCAGAAAGGAAGGTGGAAATAAATGATCTTAAAAATGCCCAATAGAGGGGCGCCTGGGTGGCTCAGTCATTAGGCGTCTGCCTTCGGCTCAGGTCATGATCCCGGGGTCCTGGGATCGAGCCCCGCGTCGGGCTCCCTGCTCCGCGGGAAGCCTGCTTCTCCCTCTCCCACTCCCCCTGCTTGTGCTCCCTCTCTCGCTGTGTCTCTCTCTGTCAAATAAATAAAAAAATCTTTTAAAAAATGCCCAATAGAGTAAAAGTTCTATGAACACATATAGGATGGAAGAGAGAGATAGAAAGCCGTGAAGTTGCTACGCAGGGGTGGCAAACGAATGGGAGGCAAGGACTTCTGGAAAGGGAACAAAGACTCTGCCTTCCTCCTGTTCACTGGACTAAGAAAATACTTTGCACAGAAAACCAGTTTGGTACGTATTATTGAATGGGAGAACGTACCCTAAATAACCAAATAGGCATTGACAGCATAGCCTCCTCAAGGGAAGTGATCCTGGGTCAATGACACCATTGCTTGCTTGCTTTCTTTTTTAGAGACAGAGAGAGAGAGAGGGAGAGAGAGAGAGAGAGAATCTTAAACAGGCTCCAGGCTCAGCAGGGAGCCCGACGAGGGGCTCAATCTCAGGACCTGAGCCGAAACCAAGAGTCAGATGCTTAAGTGACTGAGCCACCCAGGTGCCCCAACATCGTTTCCTAAAGACAGATGCACCATATTGCCTTCCAGGCAGCATACTTACACATTTAAAAAGGGCAGTTTTGCCCACGTGAAAGCAGACATTCTTTACGAAACTCCCTTTTCATTTGCCAAATTTCACCTTTCACAGTACAGGTAATTTCTTTTTTAACTGACCAAATACTGTTGTTACAATACTAATAGGAAACACGTTAGGGAGGAAACAAATCATGAATAATCTTGCTAATCCAAGAAAATAAAACTTTTCATTTTCCCCATTTAACTTTCTTGTCATGGTCTATAGACACATTTAATTGCTACATGGGTGTAACCAGAGCATAGAGACTTTCTTTGAGTTAGAATGCAGATGAATATGTGCTTCTCTGAACATCTCATTTGGCTCCCAGATTCAAATGACATCCTCATCTTAACTTGCAGGAGCTGAATTATTGAAAATTTGAGGAGAGCTGACGCTGCTCCCCATGAAGGACAAGACAAGTTAATAAATTATGCCCTGAAACGTTAGGCTTCAGTAGTGCATTTCTTGGCAGAATTATATATTTTTACCTAGGACAGTGAAAGTGAGACTCTAAGACATTCCCTATTCTATTTGGTACCACAGGCGTACCTCGGAGATCCAGTAAAATGGAAGAGCGTGTCTACAATGAACCATTTCGTGTAATGAGGTGATCAGATGTTTCATCCATCCATCCAACCATCCATCCATCTATTCATCCATCCGCCTGTCTGTCCATCCATCTATCCATCCGTCTATGCACCCATCCATCCATCCATCCAACACATGTCTATCCAGCACCTTCCCTGCCAACCCTCCCCTGAGAACCTTGGGTATAGCAGTGAACAAAACAGACTGCACTGCTATCAACCCAGCAAGCTGAATGGCTTTCATTTTTCCATATTTCCTTTCTTGTGTTCTAGTGCAGGGATGGCGCACAAACAATAAACAGATAAACCCACTAAGAGAAGAAAAAAAGCAGGACAAGGGGGTCTAGGTTGGGGGTTGCATCCTGTTTGTATATAAGGAGGTCAGAGAGATTTTCTAACAAAGTGACATTTGAACAGAAACTACAGGAACTGTAGCTGGGAGGAAGGACATCAGGCTGCTATGGCCTGAACTGTGTCCCTCCCAAACTCACATGTGGAAGCTCGAACCCACAGTGTGGACAGAGGGCCTCCGGGAGGTAATGAGGGTTACATGAGGTCATGAGGGTGTGGCCCCCAGGACAGGCTCAGTGTCCTCATAAGAAGAGACAACGGAGAGCTTGCTCCCTGTCTACACACATGCATCGGGGGAAGACCACGTGAGAGGACACAGCAAGAAGGCACCGTCGGCAACCTGAGGAGGAAGGGCCCACGGGACACTGCAGCCTGCACCTTGCCTGTGGGCTTCCAGTCTCCAGGACCGTGAGAAACAAAGCTTGAGGCCCAGAGGCACATCTCCCACATTCTGGGAAGCCGTGCCTGGTTTCATAGGCAGAGTTCATTATTTTCCCATCTGGACACAACTGTAACACCTTGTAAATGCTTTTCTGTAACATTACTGCACTATTAAATTATGTATTTAATATCTGTGTCATCATCCGGCTGCAAACGACTTGGTGTGCTGGCGTTCCTGATGTCTTGTATAGAACGAGGGACACCACAGCGCTCCGGGACTGTGGTCCAACCCTCCAGAATGGAAGAACGGACATAGGAATGCCTTTATAAGAAGCAACTGTGTTATTTGCTGGCACCTCTGGCA